AAAAAATGAAATGAGATGAAAACGTACTTAACATTATTTGATTGATGGGAAATGTTTTAGTGCATTTTGTATACCGTATGTAATTTTATATAAAATTACGTAAATTTTTACGAACTTACCTAAGTGACATCACAAAAATATGTGAATTGAATACAAATTCTCGTAAATTCATAAAAACTTAGTGATTACTTGAATTTGTATTCAACTTACACATTTTTGTAGGATTGTTTATGTAAATTCGTAAAAAATTATATAATTTTATATAAAGTTGTATACAGTGCACATTGCACGCCAGATTTTTTTCCTGATGATTGGAATAGTGGATCCCACATCTTGCAATTTGCATAAAGAAATCCTCCACTTCAATTGAGACAAGCAAACATGAGATAACAAATCTAATTTTTCACTAAGATTTCAAATAGCACTCCCAAATTTAAGTGAATTATATTTTTCATGCTTTTTAGTACTTCACCAAGATGCTATAAAAGTTGGTATATCAAAGAATACTGTAATGAAGTTGGAATATGGATAATGATGTCGTGTAGCTTTAAAACACTGTGTGGCATGGAATGTACATAAACAATAATTTTTTTTTTTGATCAATCAAAAGAAGATCTTTATTAATAAATCAATCGACACAAAGAACAGCCAATACATTAATAAAGGGAGGGGGAGATGGTGCAAACATCATCATAGCTCACCTCCTAATCCCAACCAGGTTGACACCAGGAGGCAAGTACAATCACCTGACAGTACCATCTCAAAGTTGGTGAGAAACCGACCAAAGGAGATGGAAAGACAAGAAAACAAACAGAGCAACAGCAATAACAGAACCTAAAATAACCACACCCATCCACCTGTACATAAACAATAATACTAGAAACACATATTGGATAATAGAATAATTCACAGAAAATGTAATAAAATTGTGAGATTAAACCCAATTATAGAAGGATTCACATTTAGAATAAATCTCAACCAATACAACAATTATCTGATTAAAAAAAAAAAAACCAATACAACAATTACATTTTTCACTGAGTTATTCTATATTTTAATTTTCTTGACATTAGTGGTTACATACAAGGGCTATATGCATCCCTCAGATGAATTCTAGTTAGAGGTCTTGTGGTTGGTGGGAATTAGGTTTGATGATGGCTGAACTGTTTATATAGCTATTTGTGTGTCAAGCTTGCCTTCCTCAGGGTCACTCTCTCTCTCTCTCTCTCTGAATCTCATCTTACATTTTCAAAAGCAATGCACAGAAGCAACCAACTAATGTGAAATATATATCCAAAAATAATATATGGCTGAATCCTTGAATGTCTTTTTTCATTTTGAAATTTCAAACAATTGTACCTTTCAAAAGACCTACATAAGCAGCCTTATGAAATGTCCAAAATAGTACTAGGATCTTAAAAAATAAAAATAAAATAAAATAGTGGTGGGATGTCCCAAAAATATACACTCAGAATTTTATTAAAGAAAAGCAATGTATTATTCAAATTCATTCTAAGTGTGGATGTCATCAAAGATGAATCGAATGTAGATCTCATATATTTTTATTTTTTTTAATAAAAATATTAATATAAATGTATATAACACTTAATTTATTAATGATTTTAATAAATTTAAATTATTTTTGTCAAAATATTTTTGTCATAATTTGAGTAAGTGAAAAAAAAAAAAAAAATCTTAGAATTGCCACCATTCTTGCATACCTTACATTTTTCAAAAAAAAAATAAAAAATAAAAAATTTATCTACAAAATGGGACCCATATTAAAGATTAAGGGGTGAGACTTACCTGGCTCATATATAAGTCACATTCTTTGTTTTTTATAATCATTGTTTAATTTTGTGAATTATTTTTATATGCTTAGCACAACTGCGTTGAGTGATTTGGAAAGAGAGAAAAAATATATGAGGGAAAAGGGGGATTGGGTTCAACTTCTTTAGATTACAAAGGGGAGAGAAAGAGAGTAGGAACGAGAAAATTTTGAATTAATTGGTTTTAGGAAAATGCGTTGGACTCCTAGTGGGGTACTGGGGATTCACTCTGATTGGAGGAAAAAAATTGTTTTGTTTTGTTTTTTTTTTTTTTTTTTTTTTTTTTTTAGCAAAAAAAACTTCAATTACAAAGAATTGAAATCAAGGCACCCATTGCCACTTCATTTTTAACTTTTTACCTTGTGACTACTTGATTATCGTGAAGATATAGATTTCTATTCTCAACAAAAATATGTAACTTTTTAATAAAGAAAGTGGCATATGTAACTTTTTCTCTTAAAAATGTTTCGAGATCACTTTGTGCCAGGGCCATTGTAGTTCTTACATTAACTTTTCGAATTGGCAAATATGGGAGCATATTACTTTTTGGATAGGGTTAGCCTACCTCTCACTGTTGCATCTTGCAAGTAACTTGTTTTTCTCCATGGAAAGCTTTGTTTTATTTATTTTATTTTAAATGGAAGATCCAAAAAATGGGCAGGACTTAGTTGAGTCAGAACTGAACTTATTTTTTCCAATCAATTTTTGGTCCACTATATATTTAAACGAAAGGTTGTCTAGGATTTGAGATTTTCACACATTGTAGGTATTGACGTCAGCGAGTTGATGTTTTCTTTGCTCATTGCCTCTTCACTAGTTCTCGGATTGCTTATTTATTTCTGTTGGCTATTCTTTGCTTCTTTTGTCACGGTAAGGAGTTGATATTTTTTTTACACATTGCCTCCTCATTGGTGCTCAGATTGCTTAATTAATTATGTTTGCTATTCTTTGGTTCTTTTTTCTACAATCCTATAGAAGATGATCTTTCCACCAAATAACGGAAGTAGGGGGCTTTTGGTCGCCTTACTGGTCCGTATTTTATCCTTATTGCTCAACTATGAAGCACAGGAACGACTACAAGTATTGATACATATATGATACAAGTACGTTGATACGATAAATTTTTTTTTTTAAAAAAAAGTAAGATACGAGTATGACTTGGTACGTTTGTTAAAAAATATTTATTTTTAATTTGGAGTAATGCAAAACTTGATTAAATGGTTAATTTGTTAAGATCCAATCTACAATTAATATTTAAAGTCACAAGTAAAGGCATAAACCAAAATTAAATGTCATTATATTAAATAACATACAAACTATAGCTTCATTTTAAAATCATGCTAAGTATAAAATTAAAAATAAAAATAAAAAGTCCAGGGAAAGGAATTTTATCTTTGTAATAGAAGAAAATATTGTTTAGATTGAAATACGATACAGTTTGGATATATACTAGGTATGTTTGAGTATATCCAAAAAAAAAAAAAAAAATTGAGGTAGGTGTGTCAAGTAATATATTCAATGGATATGTGTTTTATTATATGTGTTTGACACCTCTCAATGAGGCTACCCAATAAAGAAACAAACGGAGGTATGTAGGGTGTAAATTTGGCCTGGGCCAACCTGACCCGACCCATGTCGGGTCTCGCGAGCTCTTGTCAAAATTTGAGCTGATCCGAGTTGGCCCACGGGTCAGAAAAGTAGGCTCAGGTCCAGAGGTATTCGAGCCTTAGGCAGATCGGTGGGTCAAGTGTTGGGCTGGGCCCTGGGCTCGGGCTTGGACCGGATTTGGGTGGGCCTAAATATTTTTTTTTATTTTTTAAATTTTTTCTACCTAAATTTTATTATTTTCCATTTAAAAATGCACTGGGTCTCGGTCGAGCCTAGTCTTGAGTGAGCCTTAAACGGGCCCATAGGCCAGACTGAACTTCAAAATGATGGCCCAAACCCAAGTGCAAGCCCAAGCTGGGCTCGGACTCGGCCCAAACGGGCCTAAACAGTAAGGTAGTCCTCCGCTTGGGCTTGAGTTGAGAATGTCATGTGAGGAGGTCAATTGACTGGAGTGAAGTCGAGTCGAGTTTGCCACTGGGTAGATGGATGTTGATGATTTACTGGTCATTATGGTCACGCGGGAGAACCCCAAGGCATGTTGTGTATTGATATTGAAAGGTACTTCATCATTCACTAATGTTGTGTTTGGTTAGGGGATCTGAGGAGTGATTTAGAAAGAAAAATGGAAAAGGTAGGTGAAATGTGAATAAAACATACTTATATTTCACCTAGTTTTGCACATTTTTTTCCTTTTCCTTTCCAAATCTCTCCCCAAACCTCCCAACCAAACACAACGTAAAGGGCGTAATCCATATATAATTATTCTTATTTTGTAGTGTTGTTGTAGGTTCGTATGCAACATTGGTGGCTGCAGGTATAATTTGTTTTTAGATAAGCTAGATCAAAGCCTTTCATTTAAAACCTACACCAAAAGTGAAGGTTGAACGTTTTGACGCCATGCTGTAAGAAGTACTTTAAATTGGAGTGTGAAGGTTCCCTAATCAAATATATGCCTTAACATATATATATATATATATTTTCAAATGATGCTTTTAGTATTTCTAATCATGATGATTGTGTTGTGTGTATAGTAAATTTCAGCTAAGTCCTTAAAATACCTCAAAATACAACCAATAGTGAAATAGCATTTGTTTTGAAATTAATGCTTCACAAAACAAGGTAAATGTTTCTTTCCTGTTTTGAGTAGTTGAATTTGTAATGATTACATGCATGCCTGAATGTTCTATTTGTAAGCATATCATTTTTTGGGCTGATTTATCTTGAGGCTCACGGAATCATTGGAATAACAGAAAGTAATGTAATGAATTTTGTGCCAAGAAAGGAATTGATGCATTCTGTAATCTCATTTGTTCCCTTTTGTGATTTAAAGAAATTTTGTAAGATTGAAAATAAAGGAATTGATGCATTTTGGTAATCTCATTTGTTCGGTAATCTCCATTTTTTCAAAAATTAAGTATTTTATTTTTTATTTTTAGCACGTTTTTTTTAATATTATATGTAATCTTTTAATTTTTAGATCCAATTAAAAAATATAATATTTAATCAACCACCAAAATATTATTTCAACTATAAAAAATAAACTATATCTGTACATTATAAACATTCAAAAATTGCCAATATATACATTCCAAAAATCCAAAACCTAACTGCAAGTTCAAAAACATCCAAAAGGACTATCCTTAAATTCTAAATTATCAAAAAAGTTATAAACCATCCAAAACTGTGCATATATAAGTTTGTAAACATTACCCAAAACTATTCGAAAATCATAGAAATTTATTCATTAAAGTCCTCAAAAACTATCCATAGATGTTAGTTCTAAAGTCAAAGCCAATGAAATGGGTTGGCCAAGCAACGGTGCTTCCAATAGCATCCTCAAGCACAAATATCTCATGATTAGGGTGAAACAATGGTGCATTGACTATGACATAATTAACCCATACTTTCCAACACCCAGGACCAAGAGGCACGTGATGTACCAATGTTTTAGAATTTGTTGATGCAATTGTGCCTTCCGCAACCACCACTTTTGTTCCATCCCAATTCAACAATTTGCATTTGGCATTGTCCAAGGATCCCACATTTCCAGTTTCATTTGCGTCATGCAACTATCATGAAAGCAATACATAAGATAAGCTAATGAATTGAAGACAAAATTCAAGTTATTATTAATGCCACATAAAATTTACCCAAATATCTTCATTGTTTTCGTCATCCTAAAAAAAATGTAATACAATATCAAATTATATTTGTTTATCCAAATTTAGTAAAATTTGACAAAAGCTCTTGAGTAAAAAAGCAAGCAAGCAAAGCAAACAAAAGCAGAAGCACGAGAAAAATGAAAATGAGTAAATTAATAATGCCAAAATAAAAGTGGACCTAATTCAACAAACTTGAAAATCAATAAAATTATCGTTTTGCTATCAAACAGCCGAATTGCTCCATGAATTTACTTTCAAATGATTACTACATTGTCTAGACAAATATATAGTCTCAAATGGTATTGAGGCAAATGTGTTAATGACATTCAATAATTTTACGAGCAAGAGGGATTGATCCCAATGCTCGAAGACAAGAATATTATGCCCATCAGCCAATCAATTCAAAGCTGCAAAAAGATTATAAAGCAAGTGCCAAGAGATACAAAGCAAGAATACTCTATTTTCTTTCCTTTTTTCAAATAGATTCTTTTACTAAAGCAACATAGAGTGATCATGGACAACAACAAATTTCTAAACCAGACACGTGGCAGAATATATCCCAGGTCTTCTAAACCTCAATTTTTTCCTTTTCATTTCGGGCAGTATATGGACAACAACAAAGACATGTGTGTTGCTTACTAAAAGAGACTTAATATAAGGCCATAGTGCATCCAAGCAGTTGCACCAATCACCCAAGATCAAGAAAAACATGGTGTGTTTCATCCGATTAAGGAAATGCATCACCAAGTCTATCCACAGCATTATTTGCAGCCATATATACAAGATTTCCGTTGATAAATTTGAAGTCCTTAATACCGTGTTTGTGTTATTTGTTTAGTTCAGCAATTTAACATCAGAGTTGAATATTATACGTATTCAAACATATCTAACAAACCAACAAAGAATATAGTGGAGAACAGAAAGAAAAAAATAAGTACTGTGAACACTGTAATAAAACACCTCATATATTTAATAAATACCATGCCAACAGAAGAGCAAGGTCCAAGAGTCAATAAAGTAATAGCTGAGATATTAAAAGGGTAACATGAATGATTGATATTTTGGATCACCGCATATTGATCTATTATTGGAAACAAAAATTTGATATTGGATGGTCCAAAAGCAGGCATATCTTTGAAATGCTACACGTAGCATTTGACACGAACACAATCAACGTGCTATGTTTCCTATTTCCCATGAGAATAGGAAGTGTTGTAGAAGTAATTCTATTCAGCAACACAACAAAAAGATACTGATAGGATAAGATATGTAAGATCAAAGTTTGGGATTGCTGCCATGTAATGTAAGAAGTACCTTGTATAAATCTGGACGCCGATCACAAAATACTCCCCAACTATGTCTCTTGGATTTGATCTTGTCAAAGATCAAATTGGGCTACAAGAACAGCTCCGTCTTTATCATCAGCAGACACAACAATTTCTCCAGTGGGTCCTGTTCATCAAGGTAAAAATGTTAAACCATATCTGTCAGCTGTACAAGTCCAAAATTACAATATATGAACAAGCATTTAACTCTACAAATGCTACAAGTCAATAAGGTGGAATACTTGCTATAAAAGAGTTGCAATAGAATATGATCTCACTGTTTCCATGCTTAGTCTTGATGATCTCCTTCCCAATGCGATTTGAAGCAACTAGAGGTACCTGAATTTATCTAAATTGATTACTTTGTTTTTATCATTTCATGATACAACATTATGATGGAAATTTTAAAGCAAGTCCTTGGTTTTGGTCACCATGAATATTGATAACAGGGAACCAATATTACTTTGAGACACATTTACTTGTTCCATGTTACTTTTCCATGGCTAAATAAATAGTATAGGTTGTAAAATAAATCAGCCTTTTCATCATCAACTCTTTACATAAAGCACATGAAAATTAAGAATAGACTAGAGTTTCTCGTCATTAGAATATGAAAATTACCAAATTGGCCCCAGCATGCCCTTGCATCACTCGCGTCCAGTGATCACGAGAATCAAGTCTTGTATCTTGAGGTTCAAATCCAATAGCAGTAGGATAAAATAATATTTTTGCACCTTGGAGAACCATAGCTTGGGCTGCCTCTGGAAACCACTGATCCCAGCAAATTACTGTCAAAAAATATACATCAGTTCAATTAGAGATTTTTACTTCCTTTGTGCTTTTCATGATGTTTGGTAACATATTTACATTGCAAAGTTGAAGCCCAAATTACAAACAACAATCTAAATGTATGATTTCTGTAAACATCCTTTGTATATATAGCCAACTGCATTTGGCATCATCGGAATAAATTTACAAGCATGCTCAAAATACTAAATAAACAAAGTAAAAAATAAGGAACAAAAAAAGAAAAAGTTCTTACCAACTCCAACTTTTGTAAATTTAGTTTGAAAAACCTGTTTACAAATACCAGAATGGTAAATGGAAGTTCCATAAAAAAATAAATAAATAAAAGCAAGTCACCATCAAAGTTGGTTTATTGAAATATTAAACATACCTTAAAGCCAGTGTCTCCTGAATTAAAGTAAAACTTCTCCTGGTAACCTGACAAGAAAAACTATCCATCATAATCAAATTGAAAATAAAAACATGGCAGATTAAAGGTTAGGTTGTAACCCACGGCCAGATCCACGTACCTGGTCCATCTGGAATATGGGACTTTCTATAGAGTCCAAGATCTGTGCCGTCAGGATCAATTATGGCTACTGAATTGTAATGGGCATTGTTTGCTTCTTCAAAGAAGCTAACTGGTATCACTACCCCAAACTCTTTTGCGAGTTTTTGCATCCTACAGAGCATGCACATAGCCATATCATAAATGTTCAACTGGATTAAAATGTCTATGCAGTTGGAAGCCAAGACATGTTCTTTTGTTCTACAGCACGGAAGACATCTTCAGCTGACTTGGCAAATGACGCTAGTACCTGCTTCTTTAACCTGCATAAATCAAACTTAGTCATAAAGTAAAATGAGAAGAAAAATCCATAGATACGTAAACCACTAGGCTATAACATCGTAAAACATGTAATATTTTGACAAATATGTATATTTTGTTTTTTGGGTGAATAAGTCATAATATAAAAGACAAAAGAATACAAAAAAACCATAAAAAAAACTAAAAAATAAGAAAAGACAGCAATAACCATAAAAAAAACCTGAACATAAACCATAGAAAGCCACATGACTAAGAAACTAAAATAGGAAAGTAACCCATTTACAAACAAGGACACCATGTACAGCCCACATGAGAAAGCAGAACCCAACCAGAAAAAAATAAAATAAAAAACCAGAGTCACAAAACAGCATGACAGCCCAAACAACAGCTACACACAACTAGTAACAGCCTTTTGAGACCAGCTCCAGCTGAACCTAAGAAAAACCAACAGCAGCAAACTCCAAAAAAAACAACACATGTTGCACGCCAGCACACTGCAGCAGCAGACAAAGGAAGCTAGCAATAGGACACCAACAACAAAAACCAACCCTTCAACGCAACACTAACAATAGGACACCAACACAGAAACCTCAATCTACTACACAAAATGTTGTGGCGTTGTACGGGGAGCAAATATTCCGGCAAGCCCGTACTCCTTTCTTCCAAGCTCCGTTTATGTCCGATCACCTGCGAGCAAATAATGGTGAGCTGCCCGGCGGTGTGTGGCCGGAAAAACCCTCCGACGATCAAGTTAGCACACACCTTAGGATAGAGAGAGAGAGAGAAGAATGTTTGAGTGTAAGAATTTCCTTACAGAATGTTCGTCTGTCCCGTATGGGGGGCGCAGACATGCTTATATACCTTCTGCGCCCCATATCCACTCCCAGTCATCTCCTGACACGTGGCTCCGCTATCCCATCTGTCAACGTAAACATTGCTGAACATCACCTAATCTCAACTGCCTGCCTTCTCAACTAGAGCTCGGCAGCCGAGCTTCTCTATCCACGGCCGTGCTGTGCTTCATTCCCAAGCACTTTACTGGCTAAGCCCAAGGAAGACCAGGCTAGGCGACATCTCGGCAAAGCCTAGCCCAGGGCACCTCCTGTGGTCGGCCTTCCTGCCAATCAAACGATTACCTCGGCTGACCACGCCTTTCCGGGCGCCGGTCGCTCAGCTTGACTGGCTCCACCATCGCCTGCTCAAGCAACTTGGTCCAACCGAGCACTGCCCTGCCGAGCAGCTTCCTTAAGGTCTGGGGCGGCACATACTTGGCCCAACTCCTGCCCGGCCCAAGTCCTGGCAGCCCATCTCTGGGTGGATCGCCGGTCATCTCGGCCCCATGCACCATTAGGCTCTCAACTTGCTCGGCCGTTACCTCGGCCCAATTCCAGATCATAAATCTCCCTCTCAATTGCCCCTTAATTCCGTCCACGCGAGCGTAACTGGGATTACCTATACTTCGATCGGGGTAACATTTCTTCGGTCTTCAAAATTCTAAAGGGCGACCGGGCTAGTTAACATTACTGTCTGCCAACTTGCCCGGTTATATTCCTCGGCTAACGTCCTCTTCTTTGAAAGTAGCCCGGTTGTCTCCTCGACTTTTCAACCTGTCTCTTCAGTTCTGACGTTGTCATAAATGGGGACACGTGGCGGGCTGCCATTGGTTCTCAAGCAGCCAACCCGCCGTTTTTCCAGAATTTGAATTTGGACGGTCTCTTTCGTCTATATTAACAAGACCCTTCTTCCTCCTTTTCCTCCTACTGTCTTTCTTGCTTATCAAGCTTCACAGAGCTATTGCCCATCCTCTGCCGTTCCTGAACTCGAGCTCCAAGGTGAAGAACACATTGCCCTAACTTGGTAAGTCCTGAAACTCCCATTTTATTGTCATTTTCTTCGATATTTCACACATTAGGGGAGAGAAACGCAGCTTTTAGGATTCGAGCACCAAAAACCATCCCAAACCCTCCAATACTCATGATGTTCTTCATTTTTCCTGAAGAACATTGAAGAACTGGGGCTGACCGGGCTCCTGGTCTTCATTTGATCCAAAAAACCAATCTGACCGAGCAAATAACATGTTTATCTCAACCCCAGCAAAAACCGAGATAGCAAAAGGAATCGGTCGCTCGACCGGGCTAACATCTGGTCTGCTTGGGCGACCGAACTCCTTAGTTAGCTTAGACGACCGAGGTGGTTTGGCACTCTTAATGACCGAGCTAAAGTCCAGCTCCTTTTGCGCGACTGCCCTCATACTTACACTCGCCATCATTTTCTGAATAAGTCATAATATAAAAGACAAAAGAATACAAAAAAACCATAAAAAAAACTAAAAAATAAGAAAAGACAGCAATAACCATAAAAAAAACCTGAACATAAACCATAGAAAGCCACATGACTAAGAAACTAAAATAGGAAAGTAACCCATTTACAAACAAGGACACCATGTACAGCCCACATGAGAAAGCAGAACCCAACCAGAAGAAAAATCAATTTTGCCAAGTGTTTGCACGGTTGTCATCAATTCCATCTTCAGCAAAACATCTCGGTGTAAATCATAGATTGAACAAAACACCTCGTCAACCGGAATACATAACTCGGTTGAAGTACTTAAGCAGAACAAAACAGCAACTTCATAAACCGAAATAACCATCTTGGTTGGTAATAACAAAGTTGAACAAACCACCAACTCTTCCAACCGGAGTAAATCATCTCGGTTGGGATTCCTAAGTTGGACAAAACACCAACTCTTCCTCGCCTATTATCTTAAGATTAGACCGGGCAGAGAGAAAATCGTGACCGGCACACCAGACAAGGATCTTCACGATGATGATTTCTTCTGGATGTCAGGCAATTACGAGACAGCCGAGGTACCGGGCTGGATGATAAGCAAAAACTTTGGCAGCACATGTAAGCCGCGCAAATTAGCTCGGTTAATATACTTTCTTCATGTTTCTGTACTTAGTCATTTTCTTTTTTGTTTCTTTTGCAGCAATCCAAGCCTTGCAAGCCAACTATCATTTCCCCAACGTAGAGGCAATCAGGACCGCGCTCCGCTACCGCGACCGAGATTGCAATCAATTGCTCAGCTACAGTCCCACATACAGATACTCCGCTCCCCGCCGGAGTAAAGTTACAGACTTCCTCCGCGCTCCAACTCCTCCACCAGATCCAACTCTGCCTGACGTTCCACTCATTCGCTTGACAGAGGAGCAAGAGATGGCCAAACGAAGTAGAATCAAGAACCTGCTCACCGCCACGTCTGCCGAGATGCCGAGCGTTGTCACCCGCTCGCCAGCCGCCGGTCAATCCAGCGGTGCCATGGTCGTTCTTGCCTCTCCAGCGACCGGGCAGTCCAGCCGAGAACCTGCTCCTCGCCGTGCTGGTAAAAGAGCTCGCGCAGACCCATCTGCCGAGCTTGTCGCCGAGCTGACTACCGAACATCCTTCTGACACTCCTGTCCCAGTGCCGGCCTGCCGTCCACAGCTAAAGCACTGGGGTCAAGACATCCCAGCCACGGCTTCGATCAAGGGCTATAAAGAGCATTTTCTCGCCTTCAATCTTTCCAAAGCTCTTCTTCTACCGAGCGACGTGGTCGGCAGCGACCACGTCCCTGACACTCGGTTGGTAAAATCATCAGTGAAGTCTATGGCTAGGGTAAGTCAATGTACCTCTGAAATTTTCACAAGTGTTTGCCCGGTTCTTTTTCTAATCAACTTTGCTTCTTGCAGGCCATTCAGAAACAACACCTAGTAATGGAGCGCATCCATAGACTTCGGCAAAAGGCCAATGACACAGCCAACCAAGTCCAGAGCCTCCAAGCCGAGCTCAGCCGGGCAAAGTCTTCACTTGAGATGGCTAACGCAGACAACAACAGACTGCTCGGTCCGCTCGATGCGGCCGTGAAAAAATAGGATGAGCTCCAGACCGAGGTAAACGCGCTCAAAAAGTCGCGGAAGAAAGACTGCCGGGCTACTAACAACGCCGGCTTCAACGAAGCCGAGCAGAGCTATAAGAAACAATTCTTTGCAACACAAGACATTTACTTCAAAGCTGGCTGGAAGTCCGCCTGCGAGCATCTCGGCCAGGGCTCTGACACCGACGTATTTTCCAATCCTCCTCCTGCTTCGCTACCGGTCTACCTCGTGCCTTACGCAAACGACGTCTTCAGAGCTTTGCAAGCTGAGGCCGAGGAAGGGCTTGAAGAGGGAGACGCCGAGACAGATACAGAGGTAGAGGATGCCGAGGTGCAGGAGCAGCCCGGCCATGACGAGCCCGGTGCCCAAGACAAAAGTCCAACCATCAACCTTGATGCCGCCGAGGACGAGTTTACCAATCTCTCCTCCTTAGTTTAGTTTTCTTCTCTTTTGTATTTTTGCTTTCAGCGCTTCCGATGTAACCGAGCTCTGTCCCCACCTTTTGTATTGACTTTCTTATCGATGAAAAACTCAAATTTTGCCAAGTGTTTGCACGGTTGTCATCAATTCCTTCTTCAGCAAAACATCTCGGTATAAATCATAGATTGAACAAAACACCTCGTCAACCGGAATTCATAACTCGGTTGAAGTGCTTAAGCAGAATAAAATAGCAAATTCATAAACCGAAATAACTATCTCGGTTGGTAATAACAAAGTTGAACAAATCACCAACTATTCCAACCGGAGTAAATCATCTCAGTTGGGAATAGCAGTTGAACAAATCACCAACTCTTCCAACCGGGATAAATCATCTCGGTTGGGAATCCTAAGTTGGACAAAACACCAACTTTTCCAACCGGAATAAATCATCTCGGTTGGGAATCCTAAGTTTGACAAAACACCAACTCTTCCAACCGGAATAAATCATCTCGGTTGGGAATCCGAAGTTGGACAAAACACCAACTCTTCCAACCGGAGTAAATCATCTTGGTTAGGATTCCGAAGTTGGACAAAACACCAACTCTTCCAACCGGAATAAATCATCTCGGTTGGGAATTCGAAGTTGGACAAACACCAACTCTTCCAACTGAAGTAAATTATCTCAGTTTTTTACATTAAAACAACAGTCCAAGTGCTAAAGCAAAATTACTTCTATATATTGACAAAAAGAATTACATTCTGCAGTGCAAGCCAAAAAATTCCTTTGCACAAGAAAAGAAAGCAAAATCTTAGAAATAATACAGTTTCAGGTTGGCCGCATTCCATGGCCGGGGTATTGCTCTTCCCTCTAGATCCTCCAAGTGGTAAGCCCCCTTGCCCGCCAGACCGGTGATCTTGTAGGGTCCTTCCCAATTTGCCCTTAGTTTGCCTTCACCTGGCACCAGGGTGTTGCCCATAACCTTCCTCAAAACCCAATCACCAACTTTGAATGGTCTGGGGTGCACCGTCTTGTTGTATTTCTTGGAGAGCTCTTGTTGGTAGGCGGCCACATGGATGAGGGCCCTCTCCCGACGCTCTTCCACTAGGTCCAGCTCCAAGGCAATAGCCTCGGCGTTCAGTTCGGGCTCAAAACTCTCGCTTCTTAGGGTAGGCATGCCAACTTCCAAAGGTATGACCGCCTCCATGCCATAAGCCAAAGCAAATGGAGTTTCCTTGGTAGATCGCCGCGGGGTTGTTCGGTATGCCCAAAGGACGCTGGGTAACTCCTCAGCCCATTTTCCCTTTGCCTTCTCCAGCCGTTTCTTCAACCCATCCAGAATAGTCTTGTTCGATGCCTCGGCTTGACCATTGGACTGCAGGTAAGCCGGAGTGGAGTTGTAGAATTCAATCT